TCAAGTTTCAGTGATGTTAATTTATGCAAAAAAGAAATAGTTCAAAATTAATTAAACTGCTTGAAATCTTGCTTTTATTTCACTATGATAAGAGTATTTCTGATTTGCCAAACAAATATTTTCAGTCATAGTAAATTATTCTACCTTTTTTATCGAAACAAAAGTTCGGTTTTACTTTTTCTTGCTTTATATTAATTATAACACATACAAAATTTCGTTGAATAATTTATAGACTAAACTAAACTAAATGGCGCAACAGCCCTTAGTTGTCTTGCAGTGCCCTATATCTGCTTTCTTCACCGCAGGCCCTGGGGTGCATGAGCGTATATCCTGGACAAGTGGTCAGCTTATAGAAGAACCCTGCTGTTTAGTTCCCAAGCGGACTTGGTAATAATTTTATCGACCCACTCAAGGAATGATAGCTGAATTAACCTTGGCTAGCCCGGAGATCGAGCTGCTGACAAGTCAATTATGACTCATGTGGTGCAGCGCATGGTTAGCGCATGCTGCGCGATACGCTAGCCATGTGCCACTGGGTCTCTTAAATAATTTATGATGTAGCAATAATTATTCTAAAAAATTATGAAGATTAAAAATTATTTAGAGTGTGATTCTTAGAGAAAATTATAAAGAATATAAGGCAAAAGATGCATATTCATATTCGATTTATCCAGTATATAATTTTTAGAGGTTTAGAAAAACAGTGGAGCTAATATCCCCTTTATTCTTGTGAGGTTTATCTATTTACTTTTAACTAGTAGTTAATTTTAAAGTGAAGGACTTTCCTATCATTCTCTTTTCACCCACGCTTTTCATGCCAGAATGTAAATGAGATTGCGAGCGCTTACTCAGATTACTCAGTGCTATTTAAGCGAACGTTAAGCAAGTTATTTTTAAAGCGTGTCTGTCTTGTTCAGGCCATGTTGCGCCGTAATTTATTAGCGATTTGATTCTGTGGCGTTGAGTGCTTCTAGCCATTTATCTTGTTTCGCTGGTTTTTCTACAAACCAGAGCCTTCACTCGCATTGCCTTCTGTGAGCCGTTAGGCTAATCTGCCACATTTGATCTAATTCAACATTACGTATTTCTGTTAAGCTAGAAGTGCTTGGCTTGTGTAAGCCCAAGTTAGTTTAGCGTTAATTTTTGTGTTCAAATAAAAGCAGAGCTTAAATTGCGTCGGAGCCCACCGGAGCCCGGCTCCGGTACTTCTTAGTTTTGGGGACATATTCTAATTCTAGCTGGAGAGTACCGGAGCCCTAAATAAGAAGTCTCCGGCACTTTTTTATGTAACGGAATAATTATTTTAGTAGAAATATGATCTAGGAAATTTTATTTTTAGCAATAAAATCGCTTATTAAATTTTAATTTATCTCTTTACATTTTATTTAATTTTAATTATTTAATTACTTTAATAAATAATAATAAATTAATTGTGAATTAATTAATAATAATTAACAAGTTAAATAATATTAATAAATATTAATTATTAATATAAATTAAACAATTGTTAATAAATTTGATACTCATTAGCTATTTAATTTTTTTAATTATTAATTAATTTGATAGTCCTTTTGTTTATTTATTTACTCTTGTTCCTCATTCGTAATGGTTTTTCATAGGGCTCCAGCACTTTTAGAAATTAAGCCCTGAATAAAAGGGTTATTTACATCCCTCTTCTGACTTTCTCTATCAGCAGTTTAAAACAAGAGAATTATTCCTGCGCTCTCTTTCTACAGTTCACCAGTTTATATTCACAAAGAAGGTGAGACTACAGCCTCCTTGACGAACTTGTCAAGGTTTAAATAAAAGAATGATAACAACAGCTATATGTAAGATAAAAAAGATGTGTAATGCACACTTCTGATTTTAACTTGAAATGGTTACTCATTCTAGCTATGTGGATCATCATAAGTGTGAATCTGTTTCTGGGGGTTTTCGTTCACTGAGATTTTATCAGATCACCTCGTGGATTGAATACAAGGGAACCTACCACCTGCAAGGTTACAAGTGACTTCTTCTGTCTTCAAGTGACTTCTGACTATCTTCGATTCAGTTACAGTTCAATTATTTCTTTCTTTCATTTTCTTTTTTCTTTAATATTTCAGATTGTAATAGAATCTTCAAAATAATATTTAACTTTTCAAGCTGAAATAGAATTCTAGGAACAGAAAATAGAGTTGTATGAAGGGAATGAAAATTGCAGAATAATAAAGTTTTATTTTTAACCCAAAGGAGCTATTAGTCTCGATATAGGATTTTGCGTTGCGAACGACATATCACTCCTCAAATTGTTGCTACCAAATATTACTGATCTGTATTATTTTTAAAGAAATTCAATAATGAAGTATCTGCATGTATTGTATGTTCCTCGTATTATTCAAAAATGATGGTACCTAAAGAATTCAAATTTTGAATAACGAAGTTCTCCATCCGAACATGTGCACCTGGAAGTCCTGATTTGGAATTTCGAATTTCATATTTTGTGAAATTTTAATGAATTCTTGATTAACAAACTCAACAATTTGAAAGCGAGAAGTGGCAGAACATTTTTATCTTCATCTCGCTAGACTGTCTGTTGAGAATTCTAAAATTATGCTGTTTTTAAACATTTTGTGATTTAGTTGTTGAATATGGTTTTAAATGGAATAAGTGGGGAGAATATGATATTTAATAAATACTTATCTACATTTTTTGAACTCCCGACCGTTCACCGAAGAACACTGGGGGTATTTCATAAGTAAATTAACGCACAGAACTTATTATTATAAGTCTTAAAATAAGTCTTAATAAGAAGACAAAGGGAAAGTTTTGAAAGCCATCTTGCTAAGATAACTTAACATTGTTATGATAAACTGAAAATATATATATGTGCCAACACTTAACACTGCATGGGGATCTAAACGTATGCTACTTTTAAAATTTCTGCAATTTCCTGTTAAAATGTAGATGGCGTAAAGACGGAGAAAATGTTGCTCAATAATAAAGCTAAACAGAGTCGTAGCTAGGGTTTTCAGCGCCCAGGGACAACTGAAGATTTCGCGCCCCCTACTACTTGCCAAGAATGGAAAACATTTAATTCTAAAATGTCGTAACATCAGTTTAGCGCCCCTTAGATTCTGCGCCCGGGGACGGATGCCCCCCCCCTTGCCGCCCTCTAGCTACGCCCCTGAAGCTAAAAAGACAGAAACAAATGGGTTATCCGCACCAGCAGACTGGTAGACTGCGAACTCAGATAGAGCGTCAAAGACCTTAACGAACCCTTTTGCACGATTTTGAAACCTTTCAGAACTTTTTCCTCCTTCATCTAAAAAAGTTTATAGAATATAATTTTTCCACGAGTTAAATTTTTGTTTTTATTTAACTGTAGCAAGGAGTAACCTCCTTGCAGAGATTAAAATAGAACTTCAAGGAGGTTAGAATCCGATTCTAACCTCCTTGAACAGCGCAGTGGCTAATCGCACCAACGGTGCGAATAGCTAAGAGGCTATTCACACCACCTACGTTCGCGCACGCGCACGATCAGCCTCAGGTACCAGCATTTTACTCCAATTTCTGTAAGGCAGGTGCACTGAGTATAAACATTATACTCCGTGGGCAGGTGGTAGCGAGAGCGAGGTCGCCGCTTTTTCGGATGGCCCAAGCTTTCCTTTTCCCATCGATGACGAATAGCTGATAGCTTTGCACTTTGTAATCGATTACGATGTCTCGATACTTTGTTTACGTTTTATGTGGAATTGTGGTAAGGTTGCATATGGAAAATCTTGCCGAATTGGATAAGGGCCGCTCTTCATATGTAATTTTTTTTCCTTGCCGTATACGAGAGTGGACGCAGTACGAATAAATCTCTATGCTACAGTCAATTATTTCCATTATTCGAATTAATTCATCGTGAGAACTTTAAAAATCTTAATAAACAGAAACTTACTCATATTGCTGATACGAAAGTATTGATATGCTTTGTTCAATTCTCTTGTTAATAAAAAACAGCAATTGTGCATGTAATGACAGTAAAAAATAGTGAAAATTTATATATGTCTGTATTGTTGCCTAAGTAGTAATAATGCATGATTATAAAATAAATATTAGAATCTACTGAAGTAATAATTACATATGTTTAGAACACAAGAAAAGAATCTGAATTTTTATTTATTTTCAATGACCCGTATTTTTTTTTATTATGTTCACAGAGTTCTTTTTTAAGTTTCCTCCAAACAGCAGAGATGCGTGTCCTAAATTTTGTACTGAACAACGGCTGTGTGAACAACACAAAATTATGTTCAAAGAAAAGAAATTCATAAATTCTACATTGCCTACGATTGCTAGTTAAAAAAAATCATGTTTTCCATTTCTCCACATCGAAAAATTATACTGGGGGGGGGAGAAACACCACTTCACTTTGGCATTTGATGTTTTATATCAATAAAAATCCCATGGTTTTAACCATTGCTTCTAATTTTAATCCCTCTTCATTGTTAGCTTTTAAGGAAATTTGCTTCTTATTTGCATTTTGGTCTCTTTCTGTCAATAGTGGTATTAAGGATTTGGTTTTTATCATTTAACCATACTCTCCAGTTTCTTTCTGTTGCTTCTCTTTCCCACCAAGTGTGCATGCGGTGCTGAATGCATTATTTCAGATTCAAAATGTATAGACAGAGAAAAGTACCAGGACGACAAAAGTGGTAATTTAACAACATAAATAACATTGGTATCAATTATCCCCGTACTACCCGTACGACCCGTACGACGTCGGACGGCTAGCTCAAACATGGTAAAAATGCTAAACGTACGACTGGTTGCGCAGAGACCATCTGCGCATGAACATGCCTCCAATGTGCCATGCGAATCGAGCGCCATTTTGTTCTCGAACGTGGTGGGATGGTGTAGTGGTGAGTATACAAGTGATATCTATTGTTCCAAATTTTAAGTTGAAATTCAAATAAATTAAAATTCTAATGCTTTTTTCCACTTAAATGAATAGTCTTTTTTTAATTTAATTGTCTTTTTTGATTAATTTTAATCATTATTTTTTTTCTTGCACAGACCGCAATTATAGGCATAATTCATTTTCTGCTGAATGTATAGGTAAGAATTATTTTTGATTTTGTAAATATTTAATTAACTTTGAATACAAAATTATTTATGAATTGTATATAGTTTAGACGATATCTTTGATATCGTATTAATAGTAATGTTAAATATCTGGCTGAGCAAATATTTTGGTTATCTGCGCTCAATTTCCAGACGTTATTGGAAATCAGCTTTAATAATGCATCTAGTTGAACATGCTTAGCTAGAAACATTAACATATTAACTTCAGCCGAGCTAGAGTGTGTAATATTAATACCAAAAGCCTAACATTCTATGTACACTTAATCCTAGTATACGGTGTTTAATCCTAGTATACGGTGCACATGAGAGTTGGCGAAATTTGGGTTTAAGAGACTAATAAGCGCGCCAATGTGGTAACCAAACTGATTTGAACTCTGGAGGAGAGTGCATTTATTTGGGAGCATTTTCGCGATGCTCATTGATATATCAAATTGAGAAGTTTGATTGTGTATTGGAAGAGAAGAATTATTTCAACCATTGTTGAACGTTAATCTTCGTCTTCGGCTGAACTGAATGAGAAAGAAAGACGTTCAAGGTAAAATTTATTTATCTTTTATTTTTTTGTATTTTTAAATAACGTAGTGGTTCCGCCGCGTTTGTGATTGGTTATATTTTAATTAATCGATTTTTGGTCAGATACTGAATATGATTTAGTTTGATATCGTCTTTAGTTCAGTTCGAGTTGCTAAGTTATTTTGTTTCTACAGTTGGATAACGTTACTTTTCGATTATGCTTGCGAATATTTAAACACGAATTTTTTTGGAAGTTAGAACTGGAAGGAAGATTGCTGTAATTCAATGGGCAGTAGATGCCGGATTGCTGCCGAATTTAAAAATCGCGCATGCCGCACCGTATACTAGGATTTGGAAGAAACGTGGAGTGCTGTTAAGCGTAGGATGAAGGGGACGAAAAAGGTAAGCGAAGAGTTTGACTCCTATTTGGCGGAATATATGTGGCGGCGCCTGAACAATAATAAATCGTCATTCGAAAAAACGAAAGACTTTATATTTGCAATAAGAGCAACATATCCGCCACCCGAGTTTGAGGGCCATGGCATTTGAGTATGCATAGAATATGGACACGAGCCATGGTATTTAATTTATATATTTGTATGTGAATGTTTTGTATTTGTGCGATATGTTGAAAATTATATTTTTATTTTATAACGTCTGTTAAAAATTATTTTCAATTTCTAAATGCTTGCTTTTTTTCTGGTTACGTATCTTGGATTTATTTCTTGATTCATTTGACTTTTGGAATCAGCTTTGGTACGACTTTGGTTGAAAATTGGCAAACGTAAACCTATTTGAGTGGCGCAATTTTAAAAACGGGGGGCCCATTCTATTTACCCTTTGTAACCAATTTATATTATCGTATTGTAGCGAAATTAAAAATTGCAGCAAGAAGCAGTAGCTTTTGCTGTGATGGTTGTTTTGTTATTAAGCCCAGTTAATGTTCTCTTGCCTGTATGCAGCGTGGTGTGGGTGTGATGTGGCTATTCTCATTCTTGATTGTAAGGTAAAATTAAAATTTATAATCCATTATTTGCTTAAATGAATAGGTTTTCAATTGTAATTATTTATGTTAATTCATTTTTTTAAAGCAAACTGGTGAATGCGATCTGGCGATCTTTTTTTCCCTGAATTTCTGCATGTATAGGTTAGTAAAAACTATATTTGTAATTATTTAATTTCAGTACAAAATGTGTATTAAATGTATATAATTTGTGTGTATTATTAAATTTCAGAATGTAGTTGCAGATTAAATAATTACATGGTTCTGCTCGATTCAGGGTAAGAAATGAATATGGTGTACTTCAAAGGTATTCTTTCAATGCTGTGCGCATAACTCTGTTTTCTTATTCAAACGTAATTGTATGGTGTGGCAGTGATATTGATGTGCCTTTTTTTTTGTTGTTGTTGTTGCTTATGTACTTATTTACACAAATTTCTTATTACATTCTGTGAACAAATTTATAATTTTGTTGTTGTTATTGGATGAGCATTGGTGCTAAATGTCTAGCTGAACAAATTAATATTTTTCTTAATATCAGCAAATATTTCAGTTATGTGTTCATTTGGCAGCATTTACTGCAAACCAGTTTTAATGTTGCTTCTACTTAACCAGAAACATTAACATCGAAGTTGAGCCAAAGTATGTTTTGCCAAGAAGCTAATGTGTGCTATTTTTTATGAGATTCTGGCCATGTCTAACCATATGCTTTTGCAGTGCCTTTCTTATTTTTTTTGTCTGCCATGGTCCATATGATTTGTTTTTAGGATTACAGTATTTTTAAATTGTTAAACTTGTACTCATCTTCAAACATGTCTTTTCACAACAGCAATATGGTAAAACTAGATATTACGGTCCAGATTGGCGAGTTTTAAAAAAATTGCCAAGTCGCCAAATCGATTGTTTTCGTGTGTTTTAGAAAATCGCTAACTCATCATATCGCCGGTTACAAATTTGAATTAATTCTGTAAACATGCAAAAATATCTAAACAGGACTTCAAGAAAAACAATGAAGAAAGTGAAGAATCACCCACTGCTTGGCGCGTTTTTAAGAATTACACATCCTCGGTATCCATGTACACATCGACCAATTTTTTACTTGAAGAAACATCTTAGAATTGCACAACTGCAGAGTCGTAGGCGAGAAGTTGAGTATGCAGCTGAAATCATAGAATGAATGTCAGTTTGTGTTTGCTTCACTGTGTTTCAACAGTTCTTGTGTTAAGTTGGCATTAAGGTAAAAAATTACAAGAAGAAAGGTTCAATGTAACCTTTGTATGTATTTATGGGATTTTGTCTTTGTAAGTAAGACAATGATTACCACATCAACAAATACATTTTAAACTATAGGAAAGCTCGTTCTAATAATGTATTGAAAAAAGTGGAAAATGAGGGAAATATTTTTATAAATTTCAGCACTGTAAAGTGGGGGGGAATATAGTAATCCATCATTGGCAGGTCTTCGATAAAGCAACATGCATCATAATAATCATCTTTATGACTAAAGGTAAGAATCAGCCACAGTGCCAAAAAAAAAAAAAAAAAAAAAAAAAAAAAATCCCTATTCTGTTTTGACATTCAAAGTTAAAATATGCATCAGATGATTGTATAGTTCATTAATGCCATATATTTTGTTAATTTCACAAAACTGGATCAAATTATTTCGTAACAGTAGTATATAAATTTCATAAAGTTGCCAGCTGGAATGTCCTCTGGAGCAGGATTTTTAATTTTCTTTTCTGTTTCAAGGGCAAACTTGCTAGCAAATTCCAATCTGTGTAATTATGTCATATATTAACCCATTAAATGCTGTGGTGCTCATTTGGTTATCATAAACAGTCAAAAGTCTTTAATTTGGACTCTTCGGCGATTTCGGATTATCGGTTTTTTTGTGTATTATAGCTCATCAGTTTAAATCTTTTAAGATGGCATGCAGAAATTATAAAATTAAAAATATGAAATAAAGAGCAATTATGATCTAAAGGGTATCAAAATTTACAAAAAAAAAGTTTAATATTTATTTGTTTACTTTATTAAACTTTTCTTTCAACGTGCGCATGTGTAAAGCATACATTACGCATAGTTGAAATTAGAAAATTGCAACCAGAAAACTATTTCATGTGTATTCGTGATATTTATAATGATGAATTTGATTTAAATCATATCAAAGACGGAGTACATCGAGATGAAATACTGCATTTAGTGAGGAATTATAAGCCGAATAAAATAAAAACATCTGCCCTGAAGATGAGGATAGTGCTGACAGATCAACTTCCAGTTCATTGTGCGCTGCAACGTACCCCCCTCCTCCCCCGCAGAGCAGCGCGAAATTGATAAACAGATTTCGGAATGGTTAGAGAAACAAATCACCTCTCTGTCACTTTCTTCATGCCTTTAACCATTTTTTGCAGCAATTCCACTTTTTGTTTGATGGACATCAAAACATGCTTTCGCTTGTAAATCCTTTGATATCTCCAGAATCGGAAACTCTTTTTGACATAATCGAAAGTTCAAGCTTACTTTTTATAAAATTGCTCTAACAGTCTGCAAAAAATAATAAGCCGGATCCAATTAGAAGAATAAGGAACAACGCGATCTGCAACATTAACTGAAATAGATAATTTTAGCTTAGCTTATACCGTCCATTATACATTAAACGCATATGCGCATGCGTTTAAGCATGTGCAGAAAGTTTGTAGCTTAGCTTTGAGGTCCGGATTATAGATCATTCCGATTAAAGACTTTTGACTGTACTTTAAGCCACCTAGTAACACCATCTAGCTATCTCGGAGGGGAAAAAAGGCAACATTCAACTCATCCACTGAATGTCATTTGTAGAAAACCTAAAGTGATCACTACCTATACGCTCTTATGCTGAGCTCATGTTCATTTCCACATTCCACTCTCCTCTTATCACAAAAGCGAAACATGTGTTTTGAAAACGGATTAGACATAGTGGATTGAGGCTAATTTTGGTCATTGTGATTTTACTATATTATTAGTGAGTGTTGATTAAAGCGGTTATTTACTTCTAGCAACAGTCCCTGCTAGACGGGACTTTCCTGAGAAACAAGATTTTTTGGTAGCACTGGTTTAAATGGGAGGATTCTTAGAAAAAAAAGAATCCCACCTAGCTACAGAAACAATGTAGCGGCTATGTGATATTTCTTCAAACCTCGCCAAAAATGTCTCAGCTGAAACTCTGTCCGGGTAGAAATGAACCAATCAGATGAAAGTTCTGCTTCTGAAGGATCACGTGGTCCCAATCTGAGCGATAATCGATTATTGTTTGGCGTTGTCTTTGTAGTAAGTGAAAATGGTAACCTAGCTACATGGGTTTCCTGGAAATGTGCGGGTTCTGAGAATTGCCCCTTTCGTCATCCAGTTCGGCATAGCCGAAAGATAATGTAATTTTAAAAATTAGATAATGCTTTTTTTTTTTTTTTTTTTTTTTTTTTTTTTTTTGGTCAGTGTAATTTGTATAGATGATGGACACAAATTCATAAAGCCGCATTTGGAGATTACAGTTGATACTGAGTAGAATTTCAACAACAAGCATTTTATGATTGCATTGTACAAGAAAAGGCTTGAGAAAAGCTTTGAAAGAATTTAAAGATAATATGGGATTCCCAGAACCTCTGTAATTCTGCCTTTGAAGATGATGGCAATGATTTTATAAACGTGGAGCTTCCTCCACAGCAGGTTGATGGAGTTTTCTGATGATGATGGACTAGAGGCAGAATGAGGCATTGCTAGGAGTGACAAGTGTTATTTAAGATTCTGTGCTTAGCAATGAATCATTACGGGCATTTCAATAGAGATTAAAAATTGTCTTCAGTTAGTCATTTATCTTCAGTAACATACGAGAGGATGCTGAACAGGCACTGGAAGCTGTAGACACACTAATGTTTGTGAAAAATGCAACACCATGAAGGAATTGTCGGAAATGAATGAAATTTATTCCGCATATTACCGATAGTGATACAAGTAAACGATCACATTTACAAAAAAAAAAAAAAAAACGAAAGTTGGAAAATCAGTACTTTGGGTTTCTGTCATGCTGAGCGAGAGCCTGTACACATCGTGGCATTGAATCGTATAGATTCTGAATGTAATCCTGGGGAATGGCTTTGACTTGATGTGAAAGTTCAGTTTCAGTGTGTGCCCCACTAGCTGTACGTGCGAGTCGCTGACCGATGAAATCCTAGGCATGCTGATTGAGCAACATATCTGGGGAAGATGTAAAACCTGTTGTACCTTAAAGAAGGCTTGTGCACAGGCATTTTTTTTTCCCTAAAATATAGTGCCTGGAATGCATCAAATAATGCATACTCTGTCATCATTATACTCCAGATTGTAGCAAGATTTGTTGGAGAAAGCAACTTGTTGCCACAGAGCACGCCACGCACTGAGTTGCAGTGCTCACTGAAGTCGGAGGCATATGTTACTCAGCGACAGGGCAATCCTGCGTAGAGGAACCCTTGCATGCAGTTCATGTTGCAGCAGACAGCGACGAACACTTGTAACCGTGCTCCAATATTGTACTAACATACGAGAGGATGCTCTACAATCCATCACAGCCATGCAGATGAGGTGTTTGTCGTCCTGTGCTGTTGTGTGCCCCATTGCCAGGATTTCACCTTGTTTGGTTCTCGCTGTCCATTTCTTCCAAACAAACATGCATCACTGTTGTGGCATTGTGCTGCGTGCGGGCTGTGATTGTTTGATATGAAAGTCCACCCTCTTGCATACAGACGATGTGGCCTCGTTCAAACTTGTTGGTATGGCATCCTCCGCTGTTGACGAGGCATACTGAGCACAAATTAAATGTTCACTGCAGACGGAGGATGATAAACAGATTTCAGCACAACTTTACAGTCCTTTACAACTGCCAGTTCTCATTTCATGCATGCATAATCCCTTTGTAATTCTAATCATTTGTATGTCTTAACTCACTTTACATTTCATGTAAGTTTGGTTCAAAGTGCATAATTCCTTCATGGTTGTGATTTTCACAAACATTAGTGTATATTAGGTAGTCCTAACTAAAAAAGCATCTTGAAATAAAAGTATGCAGTTGTCCAGATCAAATGTTTATTTTACAGAAAAATATAAACAGCTTATGCATACATGCATTGTTTTTATAGGATTCTGATCATACCTGAATAATAATTTTTCACTAAGTTGTATTTTACAATAATTCTTTCAAATAAGTAACAGTTACTTATCCATTATTTTAATTAAAAGAATTTTGTATATATTTTTGTTCTTATCAACTAATGAAAGGGATGTATATGTATTAATTTTATAAAATTCATGTGAATGTATGCAAATAAATTGTTTATAAATGTCACATAAGTTTATACCCTCCTTAAACCATTTTCATGTGAAACAGAAGCCTTATTCATAACAATATAATCAAACATACCAAGGTACATTATTTTGATTAATTTGAACATGTATAAAAATGGGTTTTGTCAGTTAATATTAATATTGAATGTATAACTTTTTCTTTTCATATAAATACAGAAGGATTTCATGTCTGCAGATAATGTATTACAAGAGGCTGTTGTGTGCCAGTGGACAAGCTGGTGAGAAGCTGAACACTAATAGCTTGAATCCTGGTGAATGGACTGCCTGCATAAGCGTCGTCATGATTTTTCCACGTGTAATATGAATGCAAGCCAGTTTGCCTTAAGCATTAAAGCATCCCTTCTTGGAAAATATCTTCTAGTGTTTCATCACAAAAATCAGTCAAAAACTGTTTCTCATGATTTGAAAAATACGTATAAAGGAAGTCAAATTTAATTGATAAATTGTGCATGCTGAGATTGTATACTATATCATATACATTTTTAATATATTTTCTGTATCTCTAATGTTGAGAATTTTGATGTTTTAATTTAACCCTGAATAAAATGTTAAGTACTATAAGCAAAGTAAGCAGTATTGTATTTGATGTCAGAACAATATTTTTTTTTTTTTATTTTATACTTGTATATTTTTGCTTATGATTGGAATTTTAGTACAAATTATTTTGGCATGATGTGGCCTGTTCTCATTTAAAATGCATTTTGTATTTTTTTCTTCTGTTATTTGCATTATAATAGTTTGGCCATAACAACTATGGATGCCAAATCAACATGTATGGGAATAACTGTATTAAATTTTGAGAAAACCTTTAGGTGTCATTTATTATAAAATGTGATGATAATTTACTGTTAAGTATCTTAAGTTGTTCATAAATAGTGCTCATTTTTCATAATACACAAACAAACCTCACATAATTAATTTAATATAATATTATTACAGAGACGTATTTTTGAAATTGACATTAGTCCTCTATCTGTCTGTCCCATAGGGATAACTATGGGCCAGCTTCTAGGCAGATTCCTACTGTCATCTACAATATGCCCAAGCCCTTCGCCAATGACAGTTGCTTCTCAATACCCATATTTTACAATTAGTTTCATATCAGGGGAATTAAAAAAGCAAAATACTCGTACATTCATTACCTAAAACAATTTTTCTCCAACTAGCTGGATGATTATGTGATTGGTGTGCATGGATGGTAATGGGAAAGTATATGATTAGATTTCTTCTAGGTCATAACAGTTTTTAATAATGAAAAGCTCTTGTTCTTTTTTCTTTAAATTCTTGTTTTTTTTTTTTTTTTTTTTTTTTTTTTATTTTTTATTTCAATGCACACTTTTTTTAAAAGCAAACTGAATTAGCTGGATGATCACTACAAGTTTCTTGACATATTTAAAAGTAAAATATTGCATCTACATTCATTTTGAATAAATTGTTATTACTATAGTCTGCAATCATTGAGTTCATTTTAAGATTATTTGTCCTTTTTTTGTTTGTGGAATAGGAGGCTGTATTTTTTAGATTTTCTGTTTATTTAGCCAGTTTTCTATATAATGGCTAACATAAAATATAATTTATGTTAGCCATTATATAGAAATTTATGTGCCCTGTTTTAAAAAATTATGTATATCTTAATTTAAGTTTGTCTCATGTCAGATGAACAATGCTGCTAGTCTGGTTGAGAAATTAAGAAAGTCTGACCATTCCATGAAAAATCTTTTAGAACAGCTCACTGATTAAAATACATATACACACCAATTAACTGTGCTCATCAAAAGTGCTGTATTATTTAATGCCATTTCAAAGATGGTAGCCAAATCTTAAGCACATTCTTGTAACGCCGCCTTTACCTGATGCTCTAAGCACGTGCTTACTTTCCTTAATGGCTAATCCAACTCTTTCACAAACAACAACAATGGTTGTTTTCCATAAACAACCACGCCAGGATATGAAGAACTGATATCTTCTCTTACAGATGATGAGTTGGGTTCAGTTTATTTAGTTATGGCGAAACATTCGAGGGCTATCTGTCTAAGGGAAGGGATGGCTTCGTGAAAGACTTTCTAAGGGAAATTGGACTGTTTATAGGTTACACATATGGAAACCATGAAAACGCTTAGTTAGCAACCAATCTGCTCGCCGGGATTCGAACCCGGCCCGAGTTCATCGGCTTTACCGCTCGGCCACTGGAGAGCCGTCTTTAGATGATGCGATATCTATGCTAATGACCCCCATCATCTTGGTGGTGGTGACAGTGGGTGACAATCCTAAGATGCATGCAATCTATTACTGGACATCCAATATGGCTAAAGACTTGGCTATAGTTTTTCAGCGCCTAAAGACAACTGCAGATTTCGTACACCCTTCTGTTTTCTAAGTATGGAAACTGTTTCATTCTAAAACTTCGTCAGTTTGGCATTTCCGTGACACTACGCCCAGGGACAGTTGTCCACCCTCGCCCGTCTCTAGCTATAACACTGATATCACTACGAAACAATCTGATGGTGTTTTGATCGCTTTGCGGACTTTCATGCCTTCTCGTCGGAGGCAGTGTCTTCTGTAGTGTTGCAAACAAAAGATCTGAGTAGCTCCAGTGGAGTGGCGAGCATAACTGGCGCCCGGGGCAAAATACCTTTTTGGCGCCCCCCCTTCCCGGAAAAAAACACAGTGATATGATGAAAATCTTGTTTGGAGACCATTTGGCGCCCCTCTGCGAGCGGCGCCCGGCGCATCATACACCCCCTTTACGCCACTGAGTAGCTCAGCAATGGAGTTGAGATTTTAAGGATGATAGCAGCAGTCGCTGGCAAGACTAAACAGGGAAAGGGGGTGTCATCCAGTTTTCTAGGACAATAGAGCAGCCGCTGCAATATTATATGAGGGGTTATCATCCAGGTTCAAGAATAAGATAACAGCTTTAATCTTCCGATATTTAGATTATCTAGCCATTCTGGAAGTCTAAATATCTAGATAAAGCAGAGATTACGCAGTCGTCCCTCTAAGATCATCGAAAGGAAACAGTTTGCAAGTGCTCAAATTTTCGTTTGTGGAAGTGAAATGCTTGGTCGCTATATGAAGCTCCATACATCTGAAGAAGATTAATTCACTACTGACTGCAGTTGTGCTAATGTTCTTCTCCTCACGTGCATCTTTTCCAAGATTCTTCGCGAACAATAGTGCTACACTTCATGGTATACCAACTGTCGCTAGCTTGTTAAGGAGTGAAGATATAGCACCTGTCTTAGCGTAGGCATTCTGAAGGCTGTCGTATGCTCCAACTTAATATATGGTGTATGGTCTGGGGACTTTTGACAGCCCGTCGCTAGTGCCTTTCAATGCTTTCATAGCTGTAATCAGCCCTGCAAGAAGAATTGAACATAATTTCTCAGAAATTCGTGGACGATCTCGTACAGAGCATGAATATACAGTAGAGAGACTGCATCACAATTAAGTAGGATTATATCCCCTAGTGATAATTGCGTTTGTGTTACCCTTATCATATGGGCATTCACCTTCTGATTTGAGTAGAATACAGATGTATTTTCGAATCTGCTTTTGTATCCTTTGCATTCCTTTCTTAGTCAGTGTTGTCACATTTCTCACTGTCTAATACGTTGACGATGTTATACTATGCTTTGCACCATTCTAATTACTGCTTGCACATGAGACATAACATGCGAAAATCTGTCTGTCTCAACCAATATACACCAATACCTGACAAAGAATCCAAGCACGATATTTCAGTAGGATAATGAACGCCACTCATAGCTTATTGCCCAAGACTGGCTACGTCATTTACTGACACTTACACAACCTACCTGCTCCAAAAAATATGTCCCTTGTTGAGCATAAACCTACCAGTAAATTTGGTGAATACTGTTAGTTCGACTGGTTTGAAATTCCAGCGAACGGACTGGTCGCATGGGAGTTTTTGATGTTTTCTCTTGCGCAATGTGAATGCCAGCTAGTTTTCTTCGAAAAGTCCATCATGAAGCCATCAAGAATCTTTGCTCTTCTTAGACAAATAGCCCTCAAGTGCTTTTCTAAAATCAAACAAACCAAATCGAACCTTTAAAAAAGTGCTCCACAAAAGCATCCCTGTTCTTAGGCAGAAAGCCCTTGCGTGCTTTGCAGTGATCAAAATAATGTGACTTAAGCTCTATCTGGCCTGCGTAGGCTCAGTGCTTCGATGTCCTCAATGTGAAACACATTATCTAGCAAGTGTGGAATGTTTGCCATAGGATTATACGAGTGCCTGTTCAATTTTATGCCTCAATGCATTGTGGTCAGTACTTAATTTCTAAAAGAAGAAGGACTATGAAAGGTCGTCAACAAAGATAAAAATAAAGAAAAAAATAAAAATAAAATGTAAATTAATAAATAAAATTAGATAATTCAATTTAATTAATGAAAAATGTTCATTAAGAAAATTGAAATACCGGAGCTCATCTTAATTTAGACTCCAACAGGAATTATACTTTTGCTCAAAGAGTGAAAAGTACTGGGACTGGATTTTAGGTGGATTAAAGACGTGACTATGACTTGAGATCGTACTGAAGATGATTGCACTGCATGCATATCCTTCTTTAATTGACCTGCTGCTCTGTTTTGATGAGCAGATCTCAAAACAAGAGAATAGATAAACAAGAGCTAAGTTCAGAATCCAGAAAGCAAACAGAATTAACATTTTTTATGAAGAGCATTGCTTATAGATTATAGGTCACATAATATCATGATAAAAGGTGTTTATTACGCTAACCTGTTGACTCAACTTGTACTAGGCCCACCAGCGGCCGAGAGGTAAATCCGCTGAATGCTAGTAATTCGCTCAGAGTTTTATCTTGACGAATAGGCTGGCTGCCAGAGGAGATTTTGCTGTTTTCCTCATGTATAAAGTGAATCAGAGCCAGTTTTCCTTATATTGTTCCTTTGAAAAGGCATATCTTCTCTTAGACAGATAGTTCTCACATTTTTTTGACGTAATAATCCAATACAATTCCTATTAACTATAAAACTGTGTAGCAAACTCAGCAGTAAAATTCCGCTATGCATAAAAACGCTGCAGCACACAAGACTAAAATTTGCCAGATTGCTGTTCCAGGAATGATAATTTCAGCTTATACCCTATGCACAATGTTCACTAGACCTTGTCATCAAATGATTTCTTTTTTGTTTCAAAAACAGAAGTATTTGTATATTTCATACTGCAGTCTGATGATGATTTGAATGATGTTCAGGAATGATCTGAAGGCTGTGATAAAAAATATTTTTATATTGGAATTCATTGCGACGCAATATTATAATTGATTGCTACTAAAT